CTCTGTGGTACCTGCTCTGTGGTACCTGCCTCTGTGGGACCTGTCTCTGTGGGACCCGCCTCTGTGGGACCCTCCTCAGTGGCACCTGCCTCTGTGGTACCCTCCTCTGCGGTCGGCAGCTGCTCCTACAACAGCGGAGCTGGGTCCCCAAAGAGACCATCTCGCCCCAAAGTCTGAAGTCGTTAACATCCACACCTTTACCCCGAAGGTTTGGCCACCACAACTCGAGAATCAACATTTCCCCAGAAGGAGGCCCGGATGAACATCCTTGGGTTTTCACACATCCGGGAAGAGGGAGAGGGGAGAGCCTGCCGGTCCGGCCCCTGGGACACCCCATCGGCGGTGCTCAGTGAACACAAGCCGCTCACATGCCACGGGGGTGCTGAAGGCGTGTCAGGAGGTGCAGACCTCAGGCCTCAGGAGCCCGGGGTTATAAAGCTCCTCCTGCAAGGACATGAGCGGACCCCACAGTCCCCGTCGCCGAGTCCCCGGCCTGGGTCACACCGCCCATGGGGTCCTCACTGTGGTGTGGGCAGTGCACCCAGCGGTTCTCATCATGGATGTGGCACCGTAATGCCAGGGTTTGGGTCCTGACACCCATCCTCAGATGCTTGATCTTAAACAAAATTGACACAACAAGTGTGGCTGTGCCTCAGTTTCCCTGAGTGTAAGATGAGAATGATAGTGACTACCACGAGGGTCATTCTGAGGATGTGACTACTGTGCTCAGAGCAGGGCCCGCCCCCAAGCATTCAGCAGGTGCTAATTGACCAATGATGACCGTCCTAGCCCAGAGGAATATGCGGTGTGTCTCGCTTTAAAAAGCCCAATATTTGCCCAGCCAGCGTGGCTCAGTGGTTGAGTGCCCACCTATGAACCAGGAGGTGACAATTTGAGTCCTGGTCAGAGCACATGCCTGGGTTCGGCCTGGATCCCCAGTGTCGGGCATGCAGGAGGCAGCCGGTCCATGATTCTCTCTCATCCTTGATGTTTCTCTCTCTCTCTCCCTGTCCCTTCCTCTCTGAAATCAATTTTTAAAAGCCCAATATTTTTCGAAATGTGGATTTGTAAGAATGCTTAGACTAACTCCTCTTGGGGGTGTGGAAGACCTTTGGTAGTGCTCCTGAACGTTGTGCAATTAAGGAAATACTCCCTTTTCCAAAAACAAACTTGCCTGGAAGCGTGCTGAATTTGTAGCCTGTGGCCTTGGAGATGCACTATTTCTCCTCCGCTGGTCCCTCCCCACCCCCTGTTCCCCGCAGCCTCACTCCTGGGCAGGTAAGTTACCTTTCACAATGGCCCTTCCCACCTGTGTGGGCCATTTCTTTTTGAAGCCAAGGGGGAATTGGGAAGGCCTCGGTGTAATTGCTCTGTAATTAAACGTTGATGGCCATTTAAAGTCCATTCAGAACAATTGCATCGGTTAGGTCAGTGTGGCTGAGAGCTACATGGGAACCTAGAAACAGATTTTGTACAAAAATATCAGATTATCTGTTGCATCGTCAAAAGATTACAAGTGAAATGAAGTCCATTCACACGGGCACTGGCATGACATGGTTCTGGAGACCGGATCATCTGAGCAGGATATGGGAACACTCAGAAGCCAGGACCGTCCAAGCAGGACATAGGGACACTCTGAACCTCCCTTTTCACTGTTCCCAGGATGCAGCCCATGGGTCCCCCAAGAGCCAGGCCTGCCTTCTTTCATTAGATTACTATATCAATAACTAGAGGCCTGGTGCACAAAATTTGTGCACTGTGGGGGGGGGGGTCCCTCCGTCCAGCCTGTACCCTCTCCTACCTGGGACCCCTTTTTGCCTGCAAATTAGAATTAGTATTTCATTAGCTATTAACATTCATATTGCTTAGCACTGGATTTAGAGGAAAAAATGCGTTTTCTCATCATGGGTTATGTCATGGAAAGTCCTTGACTTGCTGGTCTTGTATTGGCAGGTAGATGAAAAAATTCCCCTTAGACAGAAAATCTCTACAATACATATTTATCTATTTGGTTTTCCTAGTGGAGACAGCATCACACCCCCACCCCCCAAATTTCTATTTTAGCTGCAGCAGCTTTGCTCTGTCCATCAGCCCTTTTTTTTCTGAACATGTCTAACCTCAAATGCATAAACACCACCTACAAAATGCACTTTCATATTGGGCAGCAGTAATGGGAGGAAGTGCACTATTTATATCCCTCAAAACACATGGCTGTGAGCCTGTCGGGGCCACAGCTCCGTTCTGGGCACCTGTGGCCATTCCTCTGGCTCAGGGCAAAGCCTGGAAAGACGTCCTTCCCGCTTCTCAGTGTTCA